CGGCTTTGCTCTCCCTCAGCGTTTGCTTCAGTTCTGCTGTCAGTCACTAAGGGCCAGATTTACTAACAGCTTGCGCCAGCGCAAACCGTCTTTTAGCGTTAAAATAGTACTGTCAGGATTTACTAAAGACGCGCCGTGACGAATTAGCACTGAAAAGGTGTGGACACAGTTATTTTTGCGCCTGATCTTATTGAATTTAAGTGACTTAAAGAGAGACACTTTCATGACTGTTTCTTTACACACTTAAGTACATTTAAAAAAAAGAACACTTTGTAATAATATCAAATTAAAAGTTTTTAAATAACTGAATCATTAAATCATATAAAAAATTGTGTTATGCTTTAAAGAAGTACATTTATTTTGAAGTGTTGACTAACATACTACATACAATGTAAAACCCTTGATTATAATTTTAACTAAAGTGAGTTATTCAATATATCATTTAAAGTTCATATATTTTAAATGCACTAAATTGCAACGTCATCATTACTACAAGTTTCGATAGAAATGAAATTAAAATATATTTGAGTTTGTCATAAATGCTTGTCAGTACATTCAGCAGTAAAACTTTAACCATATTTCAAAGACCATAGACGTAATTATGAAATTACATATAAAAATTTACTTAAAGGTCCTATATATGTTGGTCAAAAACACTCCAAAGTTCAACTAATTGCATTTAACATACATTTAAACGACAATATATTTTATTTCAATTGCAAATAACGTACATTTAATTGTCCGAAAAAACACTATATTCAGTTCGTACTTAAAGGAAAACGCCACTATTTTTGAAAATAGACTCATTTTCCAACTCCCCTAGAGTTAAATAGTTGAGTTTTACCGTTTTCGAATCCATTCAGCCGATCTCCGGGTCTGGCGGTAGCACTTTTAGCTGTAGCTTAGCATAGATCATTGAATCTGATTAGACCGTTAGCATCTTGCTCAAAAATGACCAAAGCGTTTTTATATTTTTCCTATTTAAAACTTGACTCTTCTGTAATTACATCGTGTACTAAGACCAACGGAAAATGAAAAGTTGCGATTTTCTAGGACGATATGGCTAGGAACTATACTCTCATTCCGGCGTAATAATCAAGGAACTTCTGTAAAACTCAACTGTTTAACTCTAGGGGAGTTGGAAAATAAGTTATTTTCAAATTTTCAAAAATAGTGGAGTGTTCCTTTAAGTATATTTTTAAAAGCATATTATTTCCATAATAAATACTTTTTTAAAAGTATGCTAAAGTAAAGTAAAGTGTACTCCTTTTCACACTTGGAAACGCACATGAGTGCCAGGTTTCATGTTTTTTTCATTTATATATGGAATGGGATTCCTGGCATGACTGGAAATCTCTTGTGCCATATCACGAGCCTTTAGTGGCCACCCATGAAGCAGGACATAAACTAAATATAGTAGAGTTTTACACAGCAATCCACTGAAATTAGCATATGGCATTGTGAATTACGGTGTTGACAGAGTGTCAATTTCATTTCCCCCCCACATGTTTACAGCGCTTATGACTGTGATTAAATGAAGTATTTGTAGGTGTCTAATTTGCAGGACTTGGCATGTGAACTATTTGGAAAATGAGATGAGCACTGACTGATCAAAACTAGTAATCAGGCCCAGTCTGACTCCACTGAGGCTGTTTAATACATTATAAATAGGTCTAAAAAAGAGTGGGTCAGCTTTCCTGTTTAATTAATGTACACTGAAATGAATCATCTTGATTTAGCATGTAAATGATAGACTAGTGAAAGATGCATTCAGAAGTTTTAAAGCTACTTATTTTTTTGACCAATCAAATTCTACTTTATTATGCGATGACCTCTTATTGTCAGTCAATAAATAAATAAATCATGGCAACTAATTTCCATGATGTTTCATCCACACCAGCAGGTGTCAGTAGCACAAAGTCAGAGACCCCTGTTGTACACTGAAAAAAGTGTTGTAGGATTTACTTTTAAATCATTTAAACTAGTAAATTAAAATAATAAATAATTAAAATAATTTAATAATTTAAAAGAAATGGCAAGTTAACACATTGAATTAAACTACATTTTTAAGTAGAAAGAAATTTTCTTCTTTAGTCAAAACAATCATCTGTATGAGCCAGTGAACCAACATAACAAAAAATGACAATTCACACAGCATAGAGGAAAATCAGTTCCTCTGTGAAAACTATATGTTCTTGTGTGTCATTATACATTCACCTGGGGGTGTTGACAGAAAAGACTCTGTGACATCAAAACTGTTATTTCAGAGGAATGTATCATACATATTTTACATATTTCTGTCTGTAGAAGCACTGATGGTTTACTGATATGGCTAGGTCTGGGACCATTACATTTTTCGTGTAAAGTAGACTATTTATCAGATCTCTTGCTTAGTTTCCTAATTCAGAAAGTTGACATATTAATATAGTTTAATAGGTTTATTATCTCCGAGCCAGTGCATAATCTCTTGGTTTAGGTAAGACAGTATAAAGCACCAGTAAAGACAGAGCAACCCGTTTTATACATGCATGCATGTCAACATTAGCTGACAGCTATAAGGCCATAATCCTACCAGGTGTTAGAGTAGCCCATCCATTGACACCTCATAAATATTAAACAAGAAAGAAGATGTAGGGGAGACCGGGGCTAGTTGTCACACGATGAAACTATTCATGGTATAATAATAACTATAATATTGAGAGTCAAAATTACAATTGCACAACTGGAAAAAAGCTGTAAAAAAGGTTTTTGTACAGGTCTATGCTATTTCTAATACACTTTTTACATTAAGAGTAAAATATTTTTACATTCTGATACATTAAGAATGAACAATTAATATTTATAAATGTAAACAAGATTAATAAGAATGTGTGGATTCCTTAGCCAGCGATATCATGTGTTGCATGTTAACCAGGTTTTAGGATGTTAAAACTTTAAGCATAATGTGTACAAAAAAATCCAATATCATACTTTTAAAAAAGCTAGGTAAGAAGTGAACAATGAAATTGTGAGCATGAAAAAAAAAATTCTGCCTAAACAGAAACTGACTTTCAAATATAACCCTATACTCTGAGAAAATTTCACTTGAGTCAAAAGTATGACAACTAGCCCGAATTTCATCTATATCAAGAATATAGACCCATCTCTACAAAAGGTCTCCGTTCACAAGAGGTGAAGGGCCAGTTATAGGAGTCACAGCACCAGACACTGCTAGAATGTGTCCGATAAGACTTCTTAAAGGTCAGATTAATTTGGCTCCTCTGAACTGACTGCATGACTCATGAACTGCACCACAATCATGTGGCATTGAGAACATCAGAAAGCGCCTGTCACAACATCACAAACATGCAGGAATTTATGGTGGAGGCGGACAGAAACACACACTTGCACAACACACTGCTGCTTGAACAGAGAACAGTGCCAAAGGAGATCTCAAACTTCTGCTCATACATGTCCAATGTATTACTCAAGTAGTACTAATGAATAAAGCATCGCTTCTAAGCCATTACAGAAGAACAAAAAGGTACTAGGTACAAAAAATTATTTCCGTCCTAGCCGCAGGCTGAAATTTCACTTAACACCACATGACTGAGCTTCTATTGAAAAGATCTGCTGAAGGTGATACAAAGAGACAGATCTGTAGAGATACAGTAGGGGGCAGCAGAAAATTACAGAGATGAAACCTCAAGCACATCTGACTCGAGTTAGTTAGTCTGAGCATAATATTGTATAAATTCTTTTTCCTCTTCAAATCCAATTGCATTTGGTTGGAATATGGGAAATGTGGCTTCTCAAAAGACCTACCATGATGAAGTGACTCACAAAACCTTCAAACAAAAGGCTAATTGTTTTTGGATACACCTACTGAACACACCCATTAGATTGTGCAAACTCTTTAACTACTTGCTGTCGTTTCTTAATGCATATACCCAGATTCACTAACTCTACAAATAGTAGATTGTTCCAGTAGTTTTTTTAAATGTCTTTGCATTTATACCAGCATAAACTGAAATGCACAGCTATAAAAACAACAAAAGCAGCTGCAACACACATTGCAGAGATCTCTGTTGCACTAGGGGAGGAAGACAATGGTGAAATTTGGGATGGACAGCTGTATCTGTGGTATGTCCTATTACATAATAAACAAAGTGACAAAGCAGAAGTCTCCAGCTAATTGTTGACCACTGGAAACCAGAGACAAGGGGTAACAAACCACAGGAAATAACCAAACACACGTGCTTCCTGCAGAAGTGGCACACAGGGTCCTCTAAGCACAGCATTGATTTTTAGAGGAGCTCTTTTTCAGAGAACTGAAAAACTATAGCTGTGGTTTGTGTTTGGCAGCAGGGAGTGGAGAGCTGACTCCAAACATTGTTGTATTGTCAGAAACACAGTGCTGCTTAACTGCTCATTACCGGCAGCCTGGGATTCCCCCTGAAAAGAATGAAAACTTGCAACAGAATCACTAGCCAGTCCCAATATGCTACAGAGCAAAAGGGTGGTTGCGAAACTTTGCACGCACAATTTGATGTTTTGGGTGTGGATGTGGCATGAATCACTGCGAGAGGTTAATTTCTCGAAATAACTGGAACAAATATACCCAGATTTGTGCTTGTGGAAAGCAGCAGTGACAACCAGGACAAGCTGAAAAATAGCACTTATAAATAAATGCACATTGTTGCATAGACAAAACATGTTTTGAAAAAAGCTCCACATTTTTTGATACAAGTTGCCGGCACTGCAGTATAAGCTACTCTGCAAAACCTACTTATTAATGCTTAATTCACTTAACATAAAGCTCAGGCACCGTTCACTCAACACGCATATAAAGTTACACGCCTCTCAAGCAAAGCATGCCCAACCATCTAATAACAGCACAACTATTCCAACACCACACCAGTCACCTTGAACCTCCCACACAGCAAATACGGGATGGAAACCGGAGCAGTGCAACCAACATCAAAGCACATTAAAGAAAGACTCATGAAAAGGACTCATACCTTCTATGAATTTGGAGAAGGATTTCTCCTCGGGCTCTTGGAGTGAATGATCCCAGCAAGTCTCTTCAACGGCACCCTGCAGGAGGCCACGCTCTATGGCCAGTTCTTCCAAGACATCGTAGTCCAATTCATCTCCTGCGATCTCTGGCACTGGGGGTGTAACAGGTTGGTCTGCAACAGGACTGGCAATCTGTTGCACTTCAATCACTTCCTCTACCACAACGATCTTCTTCCGCATGGCGTCGTCTACGGACTGCTCTTGCGCGTCGCAGGTGTTCTCGTCGGCAGGAAGAGGGTCAGTGATGATAGGCTGTGCAGGGGCCTTGCTATCCGAAAGTCTGCTCTGCTTCTCTGAGCTCTGCTGTGTGTCAGGAGCAGGCGTGTGTTGTGCAACTCTGGGAGGTTCCCCCTGCTCGGGGAGGGGGCTGAGCTGGGCCGAGGCTGCTGCTGACGCTGAGGCTGCTGGTGCTTCCCACTGTCTCTGCGAGGAGGATGTTTTTCCTTTCAGAACCTCCCGTTTTTCAGGCAAGGGCTGCGCAGGCTCCACCTCCCCTTTGTGAGCCGGGGCCTCATTCTGTACAGCTGTTGGCTGCACGCTCTCCACAGCGTGCATTCCCTCAGGGGATGTCTTTGCAAAATCATTTGTTGGGCCCTCGACCTTAAGAAGGTCAACCTGACCAGCATTCTCGGTCTTTAGCTCTTTCACCTTTGTCTCAGCTATAGGCGGTGGGACTTGTTTTCCAGCTGAAGTTTTGTTTGCAGAATTCTTCTTTTTCTTCTTTCCTTTCGAAGGCTTTGAGGCGTCCTCTGTATCTCCGTCTTTTGCAGCTGTAGTGACTACAGGCTCCTCAGTCAGTTTTGCTGGTGATACAGAATCAGAATCTGTATCAGATTCCAATTTCTTAGGCGTTTGCGCTTGGACTTCTGCAGTCTTGCTGGAGTCAGCTGTGGTCATCTTTACTTCAGCAGCTGTAGACGGGGACTGAGATTCAGGGCTGAGATAAGGCTTGCAACCTTTAACCTCTGCCTTGACCTCAGCTGTAGAAATGGCACGAGGAATCTCCACCTTTTCATGAACTTTCAAAGGACGAGTGTTGTCATCTTTAGGTGCTTCTTGGACATCCTTTGTTTTTTGGGAACCAAGTGCTTTCTGTTGTTTGTCAATCATTTGAACAGTGCTAGATGCTGTCTTCTCTACAGAGACCTGCAGTGGCAGATTAATCTCTGATTTCTTTTCAGCAATGTGTTTTGACAAATCTTCTTTCTTAGGGAGAGGTGGCGCTGCTGATTCTAGAGATTTGACAGGCAGCTGGGTGCTAATAGAGGTAGTTGACTTCGTCTCATCGACATGAACAGCAGGCACATCATGCGGTGCAATGGAGGTCTGATTTGTAACGTCTGTCTTGATTGGTTGTTCTTGCACATTTTTGGTCAGCATGGTTTTCTGTGCTTTCTCCACTTTTGGTTTTGATGGATAAGGATGAGGAGCATCCTTATGCATTTTGCTATCGATTGTGGGTGTGGTTTCTACAGAGACATTAATACACACATCTTTCTTAGTCGTTTCTTTGACTGCTTCAGTAGAGACAGAAACTGCAGAGGATTGCACTGCTGTTGATAAAATCTTTGGTATATCTTGCACATTTTTGGTCTTTGTGTTTTTTTGCATTTTTTCCACTTTTGGTTTTGATGGACGAGGAGCATCCTTATTCTCTTCGCTATCACCTTTGGATGTGGTTTCTTGAGAGACACTGACACACACTTCTTCCTTGGGCTTTTCTTTGACTGCTTCAGTAGAGACAGAGGATTTCGCTGCAGTTGTCTCTACTGCTGAAGAAGCAGCAGCTGCCACATCCTGCATATTTTTAGTTTTCTCCACCTTTGGTTTTGATGGAGTAGGATGAGGAGCATCCTTAGCCATTTTACTATCATCAGTTACTGTGAATACAATTTCCTGGGAGACTTTCATAAAGACGTCTTCTTTTGGCTTTTCTTTGACTGCTTCAGCAGAGACAGAACCTTCAGAGGATTGCACTGCTGTTGATAAAATGGTTGGTATATCCTGCACATTTTTGGCCTTTGTGGTTTTCTGTGTTTTCTCCGCTTTTGGTTTTGATGCAGTAAGATGAGAAGCATCCTTATCTATTTTGCCATCGCCTTTGGGTGTGGTTTCCTGGGAGACACTGACACACATTTCTTCCTTGGGCTTTTCTTCGACTGCTTTAGCAGAGACAGAGGATTTCACTGCAGTTGTCTCCACTGCTGATGAAACAGTTACCACATCCTGCACATTTTTGGTCACTGGGGCTTGCTGCGTTTTCTCCACCTTTGATTTTGACAGAGTAGGACAAGTAGCATCCTTATATATTTTGCTGTCACCTTTGGGTGTGGTCTCCACTTTTTCCTTGTGCTTTTCTTCAGTTGCTTCAGCAGTGACAGGAAATATAGTGGACTGCACTGCTGTTTCCTCCACAGTTGGTATATCCTGCACATTTTTTGTCTTTGTGGTTTTCTGAGTTTTCTCCACTTTTGGTTTCAAAGGAATAGGATGAGAAGCATCCTTATCTGATTTGCTATCCTTGTCTGTTTTGGAACTGATTTGAGAGACCTTGACACACACTTCTTCCTTTGGCTTTTCTTTGACTGCTTCAGTAAAGACAGAGGATTTCACTGCAGTTGTCTCCACTGCTGATGACACAGCTGGCACATTTTTTGTCACCAAGGTTTGCTGTGTTTTCTCCACCTTCTGTTCTGAGGGAGTAGGTCGAGGAGCATCTTTAGCAATTTTGCTAATATCTGCAACTGTGAATGTGGTTTTCTTAGAGATCTTAATAAACACCTCTTCCTTGGGCTTTTCTTTTGCTGCTTCAGTAGGAACAGCAGACACAGAGGATTCGCCTGATGTTGCCTTAACTGTTGATGAAGCCTCCTGCACATTTTTGGCCACAGTAGTTTTCTGTGTTTTCTCCACCTTCAGTTTTGAGGCAGTGGGTTGAGAAGCATCTTTAGCCGTTTCAGTGGATGTGGTTTGCTGGAAGACCTTGACAAATACCTCTTCCTTGGGCTTTTCTTTGACTGCTTCAGTATGGACCGAAAATACAGAGGTTTCCACTGCTGATGAAACAGCAGGCACATCCTGCACATTTTTCGTCACAGTAGTTTTCTGTCTTTTCTCCACCTTCGGTTTTAAGGGGGCAGGATGACGAGCATCCTTAGCCGTTTTGCCATCTCCAGCTGCTGTGGATGTTGTTTCACGTGAGACCTTTATAGACACTTCTTCTTTGGGCTTTTCTTTGACTGCTTCAGAAAACAAAGAGGATTCCGCTGCTGTTGCGCCCACGTTTGAAGAAATGGTTGGCACATCTTGGCTCATATAAACCTTTTGTGTTTTCTGAACGAATGCCGTCTTGGTGCATTCCTTGAGTTCCACCATCTTTTCCTGTTCAACTGGCTTGGCATGGTGCGTTTCAATAGGAGGCATTTGGGAGACCAAATGCATAGCGACCTTCCTCCTAACACTTGGTTCCATCTCTTTGGTGTAATCGCGAGTATCAGAAAGCATGGGCTGCTCTTTGGATTCCCTGGGTCTGATCTGAGCGCTAGCCATTGGACGACCTCTAAATCTTGGTGTTCTCTCATTGGATTCAGTCATTTCAGCCTCATCCATTCTCGCTATTTTGCGACGATACTCCTGTCGATCCAGTAAAGCCTCTTGCTTTTCTGCACCCATCCTGCCAGGTTTAGGAACATAAGACGTTGGACCCTGAACCACTTGAACCTGTTCTGCCCTGCGGGCGATGGCCAGAGTGGCAGCTGGCCGTCGTACTCTCTGCAGCGGTGTGGGAACGATCTCAGGAGGCAAATGCAGGTAATCGCGCAAGTAGACAATCCCTTCGTTAGTGAGGTACCAGTAGTAATGCTTCCACGCAAAGGTCTCCCTCACATACCCCCTGGACTTCATCGAGCCCATGGCTCTTATCACCTGCAGGTTATCCACACCAGTAATCTCAGGGTGTTTGGTCTGAGGCCGCTTGTCTTTCTTGGCCACCATGACCCCATCCCGAAACAGATGCTCATAGATGGCCTTCAGGTTGTCCAGGGGCATTAACATTCCAGCAACCATTGTGCTTCCTTAGTCGTGCAGTATCTGAATAAACAGGAACAGCTTTGCCAAAGAAGAACAAATCACTGAGTGACCTCAGTCCTGTGGCAGAGCCTGCTGCCACGTGCTACCAATTCAATCAAAAAAGACGCTAAAAATAAATACGACCTGCTATTCTGCGTTTGTCCGCTGTTGTTTAGCTAACTTCCCTCCTAATAAAAAAGAGTATCTTCTTTCTTCTCAAACTTTCTCAGAGGCATAGGAAAAACTCAGAAAAGGAAAACTGTGCTCTCCTTTACTCAGCCTTCCTTGGAAGTGAGCATAGTCCGGACTGGCAGAGCTGCAATGAGAGGGGGTGTGTGTAAAAGAGAGAAAGAGGGAGAGTCCTATGATCCCATCGGCTCCTCCCACCTCAGTCGAGCAAGGAAGAAACTGTTAGAATCAAACTGCACGGTCGGCAGACTCTCAACAGTTGTGAAGTAAACACTTGCGAAGATAATCAGCAAAAGTGCAACGAGCAAAAATAGAACTCTAAGAATAGAGAAAAAATGTGCCTGTTTAGCACACCTATGTCTCACAGAAAGGGCTAGGCGAAACCACCCACAGCTGTGCAAAGCACAAGTTACACACCTCCGGGTGTGTTGGACCATCTCACAAGGAGAGAGAGAGTAGATTGGTCAATGAGAAGCTAGGTTAGAGAAAAGGAGACACCTTTCATGTATGCCATCCAATAGGTGAAAGATACGGTTATTAACACCCACCTCGGGCAAGCAAGGTTTACACACTTCATATCATGTGACGGGACACTCCTTTTGCCCTACAGACACTTGAATTCCTCAAAACATTCCTTAGAGCAAGTCCTTTGGATACGAGATAAAAAGGTTGACATAGAACATTTGAATACGCATAACTGACTTAACTGATGAATGACAGTGCGGATACTGCACAGGAAGAAATCATGAGACAGCAGGGATTCCAATGTGGAAAAAAGCATGTTGTGTCCATTGTTAATGTTATTATAAGTGCAAACACAAAACATACAGTATGGTACGGTTTAGCTTATTTTAAACTAATGAGCAGCTGGTTAATGTTTTGCATAATGACACATTTGTATATTTCCATACATCTTTAATTACGGTGTTTAAAGATGTTAAAAGACTGCTCACACACACACAGCATTACACTAAGCACGTTTTCACAAGCACTGCTGGCAGGACAGTGACATGACACAACCGACTGAAAGAACGGTTGAAGAATTCATCTAGAGCTCTATATATCTCAATCTCAATATAGCTGCTGAATTTGAGTTTCCTATGAGAGAGTCTACTAAATAAAGCACTGCGCTTTACTGCTAACCTTTCGAAGGAACCAAGAACGCATGCAGTGTGTGATTTGAGAGCGAGAGTAAGGCAGGGATAGACACAGACAGATGCAGATACATGAAGCAGAAAGTGAGAGGGGTAGAGTTGCACTGATTGTCTCTAATGCCTTCTGGGAAAACTGAACAGATACTTCTTAATGACCACAGCAATTACCAATTTTCTGAGTGTATCTGGTAGGAATGAGTGGTAAGGATATGCCATACGCAGCACTTCGTACCTCAAACGGACAAATGTTTGTGTTTTATTCACCATGGAAACACACAGACAGTCTGTCAGTTCCGGGAAACTCAAATATCATCTTTCACGTCGCTCCAACGCCATGAAAATAACTTCTGGGCAGCTGGGACATCACAACCAGGAACAACCTGACATAATCAGCACAGATGCATGTTGGCAGTGCGTACGGGACCAGACAAAATTTTTTTTATTTGCATTCATTAAAGACATTGGATATTAAGCTACTAATTTTTTTGTAGAATTTAATTTATGTTTAGAATTTATGTTTTAATGTGTTTCATTATAATTTATAATTATTCCTAATTATTGTGATGATTATTATAATTTTACAACCATTCAAAGGTTTGGGGGTAAGTAATATATTTTTTAAAGAAAATATTACATTTATTCAACAAGAATGCATTAAATTGACAGTAAAGAAATAATGTTATAAAAGATTCCTATTTCAAATAAATGTTCTTTTGGACTTTCTATTTATCAAAGAATCCTAAGAAAAAGGTTTCCACAAAAAGATGAAAGCAAATCAGCATATTAAAATGATTTCTGAAAAATCATGTGACACTGAAGACTGGAGTAATTTACTGAAAACTGGAGGTTTTTTTATTGTAATAATATTTCGCAATATTACAGTTTTACTGTATTTTTGCTCAAATGAATGCAGCCTTGGTGAGCAAAAGAGACTTCTTCAAAACACTGACCCCAAACTTTTGAACTTGTATAATTTAAAATATGATTAGCTGTATGTCTAGAATGTTAATTTTAATAGCATTTTCTTGACCTAGAAAACCTAGAAAGAGCAATAAGGGATCTCCCTTTCTCTCTCTTTTTTTTTTTTTGTCTTGGCTGTTTGTCAAAAGCTACTAAAAGAGCCACTTTTGAGTCTGTCAGGTTCTGACCGGGCTCAGCCAGAACGATTTTAATGGTTTTATAAACAACTGAGGCTGTAAAACAAAAGATGTACTCCATTTTATAACAGTATACATTTCAAGACTTGTTTCCAGGTGCACAAAAAAAAAGTCCCAGCATTTGTTTGAAAGGTTTCAATAGCTGAAGACGGTTTCAAATCCATCTTCAGGTAATCAGTGAGAGTTAGCAACTATACATAATCACAATAAACATAACCTCTACTGAAAAAAAAGGTCCCCCAGAAGTGAAATTTCTTCATAATGAATAAGCAGTGGTGATTCACTTTTGTTCCTCAATTATTCCTATGTGCGTCAGTATAGGGACTTACAGTCACACTGTAATGAATTTCAGTGTAGAAAACCTCTTTATTTAACATTAAACAAAAGATAAGTGATAGTGAGGCTGGAGAATGAGTTTGAGGTCACCTAACCGAATTTAGTGAAGAATCCGACTCTCCATTTGGATCGTTTCAGCTCTTTGTATGTGTGCCCAGTTTGCCCAGAATAGACACGATCTGGCTGTCTTCCCACTGTAAAGTGTTCACTAGTGCTCAGAAACACGTGCCTTCCTCCTTCAGCCCGCTGACAAAGGTCGACATGCCCCAGAGGTCAGATTTGCATGTGTCCCTGGCAACAGATAGACAAGCCAGCTGGAATATAATTAAAGAAATTCTTATTTTTTAACATACTCATATTAGATTTCATTTTAGCTTTCACATGACTCTTTCCGAGTCACTTCCAGTCCTAAAAAAGATTCAAATTGTGACTCAAAAACTCAGTGTAATCAGATATGACTGGCAGATGCATGAGACACATGAGTGCCACGTGAGAATTTGTCACTTTGTCAGCATGGAAATGAGAACAAAGTGTGGTGGAGTTTGTGTTGGATTTATATGCAGCTCATCTTCTGAAGAATCCAAATTGAATACTCTTCAGTTCTGTCGGATGAAGAGGGTTGAATATGATTTGCAATAATGATGTGGAATGCAAATCAATCTGAGCACACAGAACACACCCCTACTATTAACAGCCTCTCTAAAGTACACACTATGGTTTCATAGCCTATATTTGCTTACACTGAAAAGTCAACAGATTTTTTTTTTCGTTTAGTCTCTAAAAAAGTAAAAATAGAGAATCAAAGGGGTTAAATTATCCTTTACTCAAAAAAAAATTATATAAGCATTAGGAAGCAGTCCATTTTAACATTCAGAATTATAAAGTTCAGGCTTTAAGTGCTGTAAAGGTTGGGGACAGGGCTTCAGCTGTCCCATACGACACCACGGTCCCGTCAGAAGGCCACAGTGTCACCTCTAACCTCCAGCACCTGTTCACTACCAGAGGAAACCCAATCTCACTCTGTTCCCAGCCGATCAGGAACATTATATGGATTAAGGAATTAAGGAGTTCTGATACACCTGGAGAGCTCAAATGTGACCCTGGACCACAAAACCAGTCATAAGGGTCCATTTTTTTAAATTGAGATTTATATATAATCTGAAAGCTGAATAAATAAGCTTTCCATTGATGTATGGTTTGTTAGGATCGGACAATTTGTCGGCCGAGATACAACTATTTGAAAATCTGGAATCTGAGGGTGCAAAAAAATATACCCCAGCGACTTAAGACTGCTTTTGTGCTCCAGGGTCACAAATATGATCCTAATTTCGATAATTGCCACAACTTTCTCATCTATTTCTTCAGCTTATCATATGATCTTAAGGAAGTGAACATCGTTGGCAACTTTTGGAAAAAAATGCCCCAAGTGTGTTAATGTTGAACCAACTCCAACAAACCCTTCTTATCATGCTGCCTTTTAATTTCCTGTTGTACTTATACTCCCACTTGCAACACTCAAAACAACCAATCTCAGAGTCATTTCGCGCTAAATGAGGCATACAGTGACAGTGATAGTGATTCTTGCCTCACTAAGCGTCACTGCTGTGTGTGTGCACTTTGGATGGGATAAATGCAGAGCACTAATTCCGAGTATGGGTCACCATACTTGGCCACATGTCACGTCACTTTAAATAGACCATGCTCATCTGCTTGAAGCATCTCAATGCGAACAAACATGGCTAATCAACACTCAAGATTTATGCTTTGAACCTCAAGCAATCATGGGATGATGCAGAAAAATTCAATGATGGACAAGGTTCCTCTATAGGCATTATATTGGCATATAGGCATTCAAAAAAATAAGCCAAAAAACGCTTTGTGCGCTTTATGATCCAGAGGACATGATCTTACAGGACTATGAGCAGGAGTAAGAACCAGTAAATGTTAATGATGAGTTTTTCCTGCCAGACCTGGTCCAAGCCAAAGAGTTGTTTCCAAAATTAAGCTCATAAATATTTGTGCAATGTTGGCAACTTTTATAATAGTCTTTTTCAGTTGCATATTAGCTTTCCTCCCAAAAAGTTCTTGATCCATCCATTTATTCTCCAAACCGCTCTGTAGGGTTGCAGGAGAAATTTTGATGTTAACGACAAATACATTATGAATACCTATGAAATACATTCATAGGTAGTTGAGTGAA